CAGCCCTAGCTGTCCTGGAACTAGCTCTTGTAGACCAGTACTAGCCTCAAATTCACAGAGATCTGCCTGCCTCTACCTCCCGAGTTTTGGGATTAAAGGTGTGTGCCACCATCACCTGGAGTAAATTCTTTTTAACTCTCAACTGAACCAATAGAGTAAGAAAGCACACAGAGAATAAAGGAGAGAAGTAAACACACAAGTATTTCAATCACTGAAAGTCTGCATTCCACATGTTCTTTTTTTTAAATATTTATTTATTTATTATGTATACAATATTCTGTCTGTGTGTATGCCTGCAGGCCAGAAGAGGGCAGCAGACCTCATTACAGATGGTTGTGAGTCACCATGTGGTTGCTGGGAATTGAACTCAGGACCTTTGGAAGAGCAGGCAATGCTCTTAACCTCTGAGCCATCTCTCCAGCCCCTCCACATATTCTGAAACATAAACCAAATGCTTTATTACAGCAGAATAAAATCTAAAATGAAATTCTATTTTAAATTATTTTTTTTTAAGATTTTATTTATTTAGCATACAATGTTCTGCCTGTATACTAGAAGAGGGCGCCAGATCTCATTACAGATGGTTGTGAGCCACCCTGTGGTTGCTAGGCCTTGAACTCAGAACCTCTGGAAGAGGAGCCAGTGCTCTTAACCTCTGAGCCATCTCTCCAGTCACCAAAAATTATTTGTTTTCAAGGGTGCTGATGGTACATTCCTTTAATTCCAGCACTTGGGAGGCAGAGGCAGGCAGATCTCTGTGAGTTTGAGGCCAGCCTGGTCTACAAAGCAAGTTTCAAGACCATCAAAAACAAAACAAAAAGCTTATTTGTTTTCAGGGTCCAAGGTGCAGTTGGTAAAGCACCTGCCTATCATGTACCATCTGCCTCCCCCAAAAAAGCATGTTTGTTAAAAATGCGTGCTTGTTTTTCTTTATATGCATGAGTGTGTTTGTCTGCCACATGTATATGGGTGGCCACTGAGGCCAGAAGAGGATAAGAAACCCCTGGAAAAGGGGTTTTTAGGCTCCTGTGAGCTACTCTGGATGCTGGCAACTAAGCTTGGTGCTTTGGAACAACTGTAAGTGTTCTTAAC